GTTTAAAAAATTATATTTTCAAGTGCTATAAATAGGTTATTTGTTCAAAAAAATTGCAGAGACTTACATACCCATAAGCTTTGATATTTGTGCAATTTTTCAAGTCAAAAATATTCAGATTTTGTGAAAAAGAGAAGTTTCTGAAATTGCCTCTAAACATTGATCAAATACTTATCATTTAGGTAATTTACAGAGGTTAAAAGAATCCTAAGCCACTGCTGCACTTCACTACACATTCAAGGCTTATAGGATCAATTGTGTTCTTGCTTCAACAAGGTTTTCTTTTGGGTGTGAGAGGGTTAATCTCTTGGTTTAGAGATTGGTGTTCAAATTGGCAAGGTGTTTGTTAATTAGTGTTGCAATTTGCAGGGACTTGCAAATTTGTCAGGTTTGCGTTTGATTTTGTAAGTTTATTTAAAATCATAGTGAAAACTCTCAAACGGGATTTGCTTGGGGACTGGATGTACACAGGATTGGTGGAACCAGTATAAAATCTTTGTGTTTATGATTGTGAATTTCTGAGATTGCCATTTTTCTTTGCAATTTATAATATACTTTGCATTAATTTTAAAAGAATACTATTCACCCCACCTCTAGTGTTCAAGTGTATCTATTTTAAATCCTACAAAATATTCAAGTGCAAATTAATAAAGAGAAGGAATATTTGAAGAAAGTATTACATAGAATAATTCCTATTGTTAAATATCTTGCTAAACATAACTTAGCATTTCTAGGAACAAATGAGAGAATTTATCAAAATAATAATGAAAATTTTTTAGGCCTAATTGAAATGATTACAAAATAGGATCCGGTAATGCAAGAACATGTTCGACGTATTGACCATGATGAAATTCATTATCACTATCTTGGTCCTAGCATTCAAAATGAATTGATAAGTATGTTAGCTTCTAAAATCAAATGTGCAATAGTTCAAAAAATTAAAGAAGCTAAATATTTTTAGTAATACTTGATTGTACTCCAGATGCAAGTCACCAAGAACAAATGACCTTAATATTACAATGTGTCGATATTTCTACAAGCCCGATAAAAATAGAAGAATTTTTTATAGAATTTTTAAAAGTAAATGATACATCTGGACAAGGACTTTTTGAAGAATTACAAAATGTGTTAAAAACTCTTAATCTTGATATTGATAATGTACGAGGTCAAGGGTATGATAACGGGTCTAATATGAAAGGGAGACACCAAGGTGTACAAAAAAATTACTTGATATAAATCTTAGAGCATTATACACGCCTTGTGGTTGTCATAGTATTAATTTAACACTTTGTGATATGGCAAATTGTTGTGGTAAAACAAAAGACTTTTTTAGAGTGATACAACGCATTTATACATTATTTTCTCACTCAACAAAATGATGACAAATTTTGATAAATAATGTAAAAGGTTTAACTGTGAAGCCATTGTCGACTACACGTTGGGAAAGCCATGTTAAAAGCGTTAAAGCGATTAGATTCCAAACATTTGAAATAAGAGAAGCACTACTTCAGTTAGCAGAAACTGATAATGACTCCAAAATAAGGAGTGAAGCAGATTCTTTAGCAACACATGGAATTGAAAATTTTAAATTTTTATTAACTATGATTATTTTGTATATATATTGTTTGTTGTTAACTTAATTAGCAAATCTTTACGATCTAAAGACATGCTTATTGATGTTGCTATAAATCAAGCAAAAGGATTGATTAGGTTTTTTTGAGGATTATAGAGAAGTTGGGCTCACACAAGCAATGTCAATTGCTAAAGAAATTGCTACTGAAATAGAAATTGATTCTGTATTTCAAGTAAAACATCAAATCCGTAGAAAAAAACAATTTGATTAGAATGTTAATGTGGAGACAACACAATCTGCTGAAGAATCTTTTAGAATCAATTACTTTTTATATATTGTAGATCAAGTTATTGGTTCACTAAAGAAAATGTTTGAGCAATATAAAGCATATAAAGATATTTTTGGATTTTTGTTTGGTTCAGAAAAGTTAAATTCATTAGATGATAATAATTTGAAAGCATGTTGTGATAATCTTGAAATTGTTTTAAAATATGAAACATTTTCTGATCTTGATGGGAAAGATTTATTTGGAGAACTAAAAATCTTACGAAATATTTTACTAAAAGAAACAAAGATGGCTATTGATATACTGAATTTCTTAAAAAGCATATAAAGATATTTTTGGATTTTTGTTTGGTTCAGAAAAGTTAAATTCATTAGATGATAATAATTTGAAAGCATGTTGTGATAATCTTGAAATTGTTTTAAAATATGAAACATTTTCTGATCTTGATGGGAAAGATTTATTTGGAGAACTAAAAATCTTACGAAATATTTTACTAAAAGAAACAAAGATGGCTATTGATATACTGAATTTCTTAAAAATAAGAAATTATTTTCCAAATGCATATATTGTTTATAGAATATTATTGACTATACCTGTTATAGTCGCATCTGCAGAAAGAAGTTTTTCAAAATTAAAATTATTAAAATCTTATCTGAGATCGACCATGTCACAAGAAAGACTAAATGGAATAGCTTTGATATCCATTGAAAATGATTTTATAGATAAAATTGATGTTAAAGGCTTAATTAGTGATTTTGCAGCTAAAATGCAAGGAGGACGATTTTTCGATGATACTTTTTGATACTAAAGGCCTCGATATCTGATGAAGGTAAGCACAGATACAATAGGAACATAATATGCAAGTATTTCTTATTGTGGACTATTTGCTCTATTATAAAGCTTTATTAAAATGTGATTACATGCATTTATCTGATCAGTAACATTTTATTCAGGTGACTTAAGATATGAAGAATGGGCAATAGCACTTGAAAAGTATGTTAAAGACTATCCAGATGCAAAAAAAAATCAGGTAACATTTTAATGCCTGATCAATAACATTTTGTTCCCTAGCATTTTAGGGATACAAATTAGAATTTATTGATATTTTGTATATAGATAAGTGTCATGTGTTTACTTTTCGCACAGGACCCCTAAAATCTCAGAACCTGCCCTGTTTAAACCCATAATTGAAGTAGACTAAAATAAAATGCACAAAATAAAATAAAGCTCTACTCAAAGAACGGCTTCTCCGTTTCTGTCATCTTTAGAAGTTCTGCTAAAGCAGTAGGAAAAAATGTCTTAAAGAGTGTTGTGATGGTTGTAATCAATGTGTGTGCAATTTTATTTCAATGTTGTCGTAGTCCATTCATTTTTTGAATGATTACCGTTGGTGAAGATATTATGTCGACTCATCTTTCATGGGCTGAAATTAGCTCTCTTGGATTTTTGGAAGTCATCAGGACCAATTACAAGTTGTGCGTTGAGAGCCGCTGCAGCAATTTTGGGATTTTGGCAGCGGCTATGGCATGCGCGAACTCATTTACTATCTGGATCACTTTTTTCAGGCTTTTAGGTTCTTAGTGTTAGTTGTGGAATTTGAGTGACTGTTCGAGACTGTCATTAACTTTTCAATGTGGCAATTACATGTTTGATTGTTATCTCTCGTATTGGTTATTAATGGCCATGTTTAATGTGAGTTGTTGATTATCAAAATTAACTGAAAATTTTTTAGTAAATTTAATACGACATTTAACGACATGAGATGCTCGATGATCAGGTGCTCATAATTTAGGGAGAGAAAATAAAAATTAAAAGCACACGTGTGAGATGCTTGAAGATCATGTCAGAAATTAAATGGCAAAACAATTATTTTATTTTATTTTTATGTCACACAACATGAGAAGTCTAAAAGTTGTGATATCTCATGATAGTTAAATTTTATAATTTTATTGTAGGGGCAGAAGTGATTTCTATTCCATGAGGGGCGAAACTGTGGGTCAGCAATACTTTTAAAATATAGAGCAGATTTTTTTTTCTTTACTGGGTCTACTTGTTTTTCTTTTTCTTTTTCTTTTTCTTTTTCTTTTTTTTTTACTGGGTCTATCATGTTCATAGTTCATAAAAGACAGGTAAATACTATAACATGAATTGCAACACACGAGAAACCAAATAATTATGTTGCCGCTAGCCAGAAGATCAAATTGGTGAGCCGTGTGATGGGAAACCTTCCCGCACGGTTAGGAGGAGCACTGAAGACGAATGAGAGGTTCACCAACTAAGTCAAACTGTACTAAAAACTTTTAAATTGAGGCGGGTGAAAAAGAAAATGCTCGAGGAAGGAAGAGTGGGATGAGTGCCAACTGGTCGAGACTGTGGCTTCGAATGAGAAATTCTTCCTGACCTCGCGGTACTGACTGATGTTGTCTGTAGCACAAGGGAAGGGTGTTGATGCAAAGATTATCAAGCCCCAATGGAATGGACCTAGCCAACAAGTGTGGGATAGCCGTTATGCTAGGCTTCCTCGCCGTGTTGATGGGCACCCTGACCGCTGCTTAGGGTGGCATGGCATGAATTTTTAAAAAGAGATAAAATGGGATATTGATATTAGAAAGATGAAACCCTTCATTTTGAACAACAAAGAGCGATTAATCAGGTCCGACAACAAGTTTTCGAACAAGCCTTACTATGCAGGATTATACACGAAAGATCCTTTTTTGGCTCTCTCCTCAACCCTATGTCTGCATGGAGCGAGGTTTTTATTTCGGTTTAAAAGAGCCGTGAGAGTCCTAAATGGTTTGGCAATGGATGAGCTCAAAGTAAAAGTGGCACCCGCTTCAAGTCATTCATGACCCATATTTTATTACACCTAATTTGTGCACCAATGGTGATAGTGGCAGATTACAAGAATACACAGGTATTTTGTTTGCTTATTTATATTAATATATAGATCAATGTGAATAGACCAGATAATTTACAGCCCTTTATTTTTACGATAAAAGACCATAGCCATAGGCATAGCCATGACAGGATTGATCCTGTTAGAAATAACTAATAGCGTCGCAAGAATCTGAAGTCCAACTCCAAAGGAATAGAATTGGAACCCCATGACTTCATATTGTTTATACAGAATAGAAAAGAATATGAACGCTAGTATCTCTAACATTTTATAATAAATATGCACCAAAGTACAACAAAATATACAAAAACTTTCATCATCAAGGATAACCTGTAGATGACTCAAAATTTGAGAGAGGATACATTGCCAGTCCTAATTACATAAAGTCATTCCATATACAGTTATAATCTTTTCTAAAAACAAAACTACCACTTTCTTTTGTACACTACTGCATAAGTTTTCTGAGGCATATCATCTGGGTCCTGAAAGCTCAATTGCTTCAATAATGAATGAAGAAGCCTCATTAGCATCATCATAACTTCTAGAGAAACTGCCAGATCCTGCACAGAGCACTTCCCCATTTGCTTCTTCAGTGCGGTCTGCTGGTCTTGCAGCTTCCAAGGCCTTAACGACTTCCGACATCTTTGGCCGAAGCACAGGATTAGACTGAGTGCACAACAGAATTACATCAACAACACTCTCCAGTTCATTGTCATTGAAGGAGCCATTGAGATCTTTATCGACAAGGGTTTGGATTCTTTTTTCCTCGTGTAAAGCTCTAACCTGCATCTTACGGTGTTAAGTAGCTAGATGGAAGTAAATGGCAGTTTGGTGTGTCCCTCCACGATCTTCGAAGGTGCGCTTTGACGTGGCATACATCCAAACCATCAACCATGATCTAAAGTGTGGTGATGATATGAGGTTTTGTGGTCTGAATATATGTCTACAACACACCAGCTGAGACCGTAGAGGAGCACACCGGCCCCCTTTATTCATTCTATATTTATAGTTTCTTCAGCAAGCACACTTTTCTAGGACCATAACATCCATAACAAGACTAATCAATTATGGTGCTCGCATATCTTTATGAGAGCTAACAAGCTCACTTCAATGATGTAGTGCATGTGTGTGTGTGTGTGCATGTCCTATTATGTGTTGTTTGTTAGGGGAAAAAAAATCCTATGGAAGTCCGCTATAGATAATCATACAGTTGAGAAGAGGATCTTGACACGTGTTTCCCGGCACAAATCTTACAGTTGGTGGTTAATAACCATCCAACTTCAATTTTTTGGGACGTGTGCCACTTCTGGATTTTCCACTAACAAAGTGTCACAATCCCCTTCCTATATAATTTCTATAGAGAATCACCTATACATTTTTTTTCGTGTTTTTTTATGGGTGTGTTTGTTGATTATGTGGGTGCGTGTGTGATTGAATGTCTACCTATGCGAGTGTGTATAAGACACGATGCTTTGCATCAGCTACATATAAAACTACACATAGATCGCCTTCCAAAGGCCTGAATGTATGAGTGCTGTCAGCTGTGCCATCGCATAAAAACCATACTGATTAAAGAAAACTATATGATATCTACCATACTAAATGCTCCATGCAGTTTTTCATTTTATCGGGAAGGCTCTTTTTTGTTTACACCTTTTAACAATCAATATTTTCTGTAAAACATACAATATCATATTATTTATTTTTCAATTTTTGAATTACATGTGCATTTGCATGTGACCAAAGATCTAGTAAACTGTAATTCTAAATAATTTAGACAGTTAAATAACAGAAAACTATAATCTGTAAACAATCAAAATCTTATAAAAAGTATGCATATCGTTTGCATAAACAATATAAACCTGTGGAAAATTATACACACATATGTGTAATTTCTATTGTCCACTGTTTCTTGGTCCACATGCAACTTTAGGAACTAACAAGGGCCCAAGGTTGAAGCTTAACTCAAATACAAATATCTTGCCTTAAATAATTCAACAGACCAGAGGCCTACTCTAAGTTGTGTTGACACTACAGTACAATGACAGAAAGGAAGCTCAAACCTCAAATGATAAAAATATTTTCTTTTTCAACAATGATTGGCTTCACATGATAGCCTAACAGCATAAAGGACAGTTACTTATAGTATAGCCTACGCTAAAATTGTCCATTGAATGTGAATTACTAATGAATCTTAAATTTCTCTATGGAATAGGACACAGACAATTAACTTATCATACTTTAGGATAAATTTCACACAACTACCATAAACTGTAGGGTTTTGCACAAAAGTTGCCATAAAGTATTAGAGAAAGTATCATATACTATCAAAACCTAACTATGAATTGAATATGATGAACTTTTACTTATGTTTTACAAACTACCATGGATTCAGATAAAGTCACAAATCAATCCTAAATTTTACATTATTGCAAGATAACTACTATATGGACCTTCCGGTATTTTCATAAAACTACCATGTACTTTTGGATAATATGGTTTCTGTGGGCTCAAAAGTTAGTGGTATTTTTCTCTAATAAAATTAGCTTCTGGAATTTTTGTGAAAAAACCCCTAATATTTCATGTAGTTTTGTGAAGTTTACCCCATAGTTTATGTTGAAAAATCAACATTTTTGGCTAATCATGTTAACTCATGCCGATCTATGCAGGAAAAATCAAAAAAGCAAAAATAATGTGTAGAAAAAATATAAAACATATTTTGCTCAACTTGAATTACTCACCCAGTCAAGAATCATTCCCTTTTGGACAGGAGCATTGCCAGAACTCAATGTCTTTGGACCTGTTATCAATTCCAACAACAGAATACCAAACCCAAATACATCTGTCTTCTCTGATGACTGCCCTGTTGACAGATACTCTGGGGCAATGTGCCCTACAGTACCTCGAACAGCAGTGGTAACATGAGAGTCCCTCGTATCTAGAAGCTTTGCCAACCCAAAATCTCCAACGACTGCTTCAAAACTCTCGTCAAGCAAGATGTTGGCAGCTTTAACATCTCGATGAATGATTTTAGGGTTGCATTGCTCATGCAAATATAGTAGCCCACGGGCAGCCCCCAGTGCAATTCTCATACGCTTGCTCCAATCCAAGGATGGTTTCTCATTGCGACGGTCTGCATATGGTTACTTATTAGGAAAATGAATGAGAAGAATTCGACTCTGTAGTTTTGTTTGCTCTTCAAGAGAAAGAAGATAAATTGGAGGTATATTGCATGGAATAAGAGCATAATTAATAGTTGTTGCTTCTGACTTTATGACATAGGACGGCTTTCTATTGAAAAAATCACAAATAAAGACATGTAAAACAGGAAAAGGATGGCCAAAATTTATTTTTGAATTAGAGTTTTGATGTCGGGAAGAGTTTTCTGGTACCATCATCCATAAAACACAAATTATTAGTTGTGAATTTTCATGGATTCAGGAATCCTTTTAGAATGTAATTAGTAAGAAAGCTTTTATTTTAGTATGATTAGATCTCTTTCTTATTAGGTATCAGTTTCTTGATGATCTAGTTCTCCAAGTCTATGAAATACTTGTTTTTCTTCAATAAAGTAAAGATGAAGATGTTATGAAAAAATTATGATTTCTATAGGTTAGATGATTCTGGACATTGATTCAGGCATTAGACCATTGACTAGACATGAAACGAAATATTAATTGCCTTCTTCTCTATTTTTGCTTGTTTCTTCATCCCTGATTTTCCCCCTAATTTCCCTGTTCCCCATCACTCTGTTATGTAATTCAATAGCAGATGAAATTAACTAGCAGCAAAACAAACCTCTTAGACGATCAGCAACACTCCCATTTGGCATATATGGATATACAAGGAGCCTCTCATTTGAAGTCATGCAAAACCCATATAGCTGCAGTAGATTCCTATGTAAAGCCAAGCCGATCATCTCCACTTCTGTTTGGAACTGAACTTCTCCAGTGAAGTTGGGATCTTTCAATCTTTTAACCGCTATCATAGTCCCATTTCGAAGCTGGCCTTTATAAACAATTCCAAATCCACCTTGACCTAGAATATTCTTAGAACTAAAATTATCAGTTGCAATCTGTAGCTCTCGGAATGAGAACCTCTTTAAATGACCCATTTCAAAGTCATAGTCTTGATCTGTGGATAGATTAGCAGAACGTTAAGATCAAATGCAGAGAGAAATTAAGTAATTTGCATGCTCCAGATTTGTACCATAAGATGAAAATGGTAGACGCCATCTACAATAATGGAGGCAACAAAAGAGCAGCGTGAAAGACATCAGTAAGGTACAGCCGACACTCAAAGAAACAGCAATTGCTAACTGATGGTTATTGGGTTTTCTTAATGTAGTGGTTTCTGCATTAAGACAAATGAAGTTGGTTAGCAGATAAGATACAACATTCACAAGTTCAAGAAGTTAATGATCGGAGTGCAAATCACCATTGACAGTCAAGGGAACCTTTGCACAACCATGTATAGCTGATGAATTACAGAGGAACATATTTCCTGCAACACTAGAAAATTGACATATAGTTTCAGCATTGCAGAGTGTACTGAAGAAGTTCCTAAAGTATATTGCATCATGGAACTTTGCAAAATACATTATGGTGTAAACGTTATAAAAAAATATTTTGCACATCTAAAAGAGTCAATTTTCATAAAATCCCTACTAAACTGTATAAATTAGAGAAAACCATCTGAACTTTCAAATTTATACAAAACTACAATGAACTATTTGAAATTACTATAAAGGGCATTAATGTGAAGGGTAGAATGTCTACTCTATCCTTATCAAGATCTATCACCCTATCTGGAAGAACTCTCTCAACAGAAGTAAAAAGGCATATTAAGGGCGAAATTGTCCAAACCATGTCACATGCACGTGACAACCATAGTGATGGAATTTTAATGACAGATATCTGGAGCTTCTCCCTAATTTATAAGATAGTTTTTCTCAATATTAATCCTTTAAATCTTTAATATTTTGAAGTTAGTCTCTCAAATAAGTGAAGTTGCCATTAGGTTCCCCAATTCTTATTTCTGGGTACTGCTACTCTTAGTTGGGAAAGATTAGCCCCTAACAGTAATCTCAGTGATTTGAAGGACTAATTTTGATAAGAATTGGGGGACATAATAACAATTCAATGATTTGAGGGACTAATTTCAAAATATTTAAGATTTGAAGGACTAATACCAGAAAAATCCTTTATAACATTTAGAGGGTTCATGAAAAACACCACAGAGTCTAGGAGCGGTTTCATGAAATTTACCCAAAAAACTGGGATGATGATGTGCAATGCATGTGCAAGTGAAAACATATTTCTATGCTATTTACTATCGTTGTTCTTTATAATCTCTTCTAGACAACTACGGAAATAGTACTTACAGTGTTAAAGAGAATTTATTGGGAAAAGGATCAACAAGAAATTTTGTTTCAGTGTTCACCTCTATGGAAATCAATACAATATAAAGGGTTTTACATTATGGAAATATGACACGTATGACATAACAAGCCATGAGTCGTCCCTTTTTGCCCATTAGTTTTTTTAGTTGAATACCACTGGCCTAGTAACGAAGAAGGATCATACACATACAACCTAAGTTACTTGGGTACTTCTAATCTGAAGTCGTACCCGTACCCTATGTTGGGTCCTTTTGTTTTGATGATGATTAACAAATAATTTACAACTAATGTTGTTTGTCTAGTGTTTGTGTTTTGTATGTATTCTAGGCAAACAATATGTTATTGGATAGAATTGCGTCATAACGATCATATCCAATGGAGGTTGGCGGAATTGTGGTATGAAGCCCTGCAATTCAAGTTGAAGATTCAAGTTCAAACTTCATCCGTAAGTATACCAAGTTGAGCTACATCGAAGATCAAGATTACTTGGGTATATTTAGTTTAGCTTTTTATGTTGTGTGCGTTGATACTTTAAGCTCAATCACTTACACACATACAAGTTTTGGTTTCTTATATATATATATATATATATATTATTCATTGTTTATAGACTTCATAACAATAGTTTATATCTTCCTTTAAGTCTATAAAATCAGTTTATAGAGTTTCAAAACATGGTTTATGTGCAATATCAAAAACAAGTGTTTTTCATTTACATGTTTTACACTATTTTGTAAAATGAAGAGATTTCTCATTCGGGAGGTGTTTTTTGAAAACTAGTTTTTATAACATGTGTATTACCATGTCTACAATCATTTCCCAAAGTTTCATAATTTTTGGATTTTATTTGCTATTTTTTATCAAGGTTTAAAAGTCAGATTTTAGACATGTATAGTATATGTGCATGTTCATAAGTCAACTTATCAGGGTTGATAAATCGACTTATGAAATGCTCTAAAAAGTGCATTTTTCTTTGCTGAGTCAACTTATTCAAGAACACAAGTCGACTTATTATAAGTCGAATGCAAGTTAACTTATAGGCATATTTTTGTGTGTTAATTTTCTTCTGAAAGTCGACATATATGAACTTTCAAGTCGACTTATTGTAAGTCAATCATAAGTCGACTTATACTAAGTCAAATGCAAGTCAACTTCTAAATATGACCGTTGCACAGTAATGACTATTTCCAGATTCTGTTTTTGTGTGGGTTTTTGGTCATTTCCTTAGGGTTTTAGCTGATGTCTTGGGTTATTATAAATACCCCATTGCATTTACCTCTTCAACCAACCAAGAGAATGTTTTAAGAGAAAAGTTTAACATGGGTTTTAAAATTTTGTTTAGTGTTTGTTTAAAAAACTTTTAAGCAATTGAGAGTTTGTTTTGTGAAAACAATTTCACTTTGTTTAGTGTTTGTTTAAAAAACTTTTAAGCAATTGAGAGTTTGTTTTGTGAAAACAATTTCACAAGAGCTTGAGGAAGATCATCCATCGGTAAACAATTTCACAAGAGCTTGAGGAAGATCATCCATCGGTGTTTGAGCATCCAACTCTTCTCCCTCTCTATCTTGATCTGTAGAGAAGTTTTTCTTAAACTCAATTCTAGCATTTTATATGTTTGATCTTAATTTCGTAAGCTAGATTTCATATTGAGTTTAATTGTTTTATTGAATCTCTTTGTTCACACACAACCATTAAGCTTATTGTATTTATATTCATAGTATAATTTGGGTTGTGAAATTTGTAACATTGAGTTGTGCTTAATTAAGTTCTCACCTTATTTAGAGAACAACCATTTGTTGTAGTGAGCCTAATTGTGTAAATCATATTGTATTACACTTGGACACCGAGAGAAGTGGTTAGTAAGAGACGGGGTCGGTTCCAAGAGAAGTGGGGTTGGTAGTAAAGACTAGTGAGATGTGGTAATTCTGAACACTTGAGGAAGGTGACACGGGCTAGACTAACACTTAGAGGGTGTGAAGTGTATTTACAATTGTGTGAAGTGTATTAGAGTGGCTAATTGTGAAGTTCACTTTGCATTACACTAGTACACCAAGAGGAGTTTGTGGTGAGAGATGGGGTCGTCCTAAGAGGAGTGGGATAGGTCGTAATGGCTAGAGAGAGGTTGTAATTCCTAACACTTAAGGGAGACACGGGCTAGAAATCAACACTTGAGGTGGTAGTTAGTGTAGTTACATTGTGAGTGATTGTAAATTTTTCGGTGAACTAGAAAACCGAGTATGAGTGTAAACGTTATTCGGATGAGCGTAGAAAACGCGGTTGTGATAGTTGAGATCTCCTCAAGGTGAGGAGCGAAGATGTAGGTCATGGGGATCGAACTCCGTGATCATATTGTTTGTTTGCGTTTGTCATTGGCGTTCCTTTATATTCGTGTTTACCATTTATATCGCATTTGTCAATTGCTTGTTTGTATTGCCCTATCACTTTAGTAGTTTGTTTACCCTTGTGTTACTTATATATATCATTGCTCAGATCTTGTTGAATATCATTCTTACTAGGATATATTGTTAATTAGTTTTAAATTGACATAAATCGGATTAGATTAGCATAAACCCTATTCATCCCCCTCTAGGGTTTCTTTCATAGCGACCTTAGGGTACATTCACCCTACACGTACTTGTATTCGTACCCAAACTCCTTGGACACTCCTTGCATATATGTGTACATTTATTTGCGCATATACTAAATTATACAATATATGTTTTAATTTAAAACATTTGCCATACATTTTCTAAACATATATCCTACACTTCACATCCACTTCTTGAAACTTGTTAGACATAGGTCAAGTTCTGAACTGTGACTTGAAGGGTTGTTTGGATGTCTAGTTCAAAAACTAGTGATTTTCCAATTTATACATAATAAAAGAAACATAAATTGTTATAGGGATTTTAATTCTCATATTTGTTCTCATATAAATTATTAATTCCAATATATAATATATGTGTATATAATCATTTATATAGTCATGTCCCCGTACCCTACCTTTTACAAATATGTACCCATACCTGTATCCTGGCAACATAGTAGACAACCAACCAAAAGTGATGCACTACATAGAAGCAAGATCGTGCTGGCATGAGTGGCATCTTCCAGCCTTTAGCTGAAAAGTTGTAGTCCAAAATATATCCACTTTGATATAATGGGCTTTAACAATCACAGTGCACAGTCCAAATTCCAAGTCTCTCGCTACAATTTAACATAGCAGCCCTTAAAAAGTTAAATAGAGAGATGATTTGTGTAGGTGAATCCAACTAAAGAGTCGATATCCTTGTTGTAAGGTTCCACGTCTAATTAACCAACCAACACAGCATCTACATTTCACCTGTTCATTTTCAATAAAATGAAAAAGCATCGATGACTTCAGATTAATCTTCACATATGCACAAGAATGCTTATATCTAGTTGATCCTTAATATAAAATTGAATTGTATAAAATCATGATGCACGTTTTCTACAAGCATTAAGAAAAAGCAGAAAAGTAGAGAAGATATAAATACTAGACAAAGTGTGTAAGTACTTAAAATTTTTACTTGAAGATATCATTTACACTAATTCACCTGTAGTCTTTTGCCAGTATCTTGGGAGTTGGACCACTAAGATTGTTGAATGATAAATCACTGTCACATAGTTGAATGGGTAAATTATTATGCCCAACCGAAAAAAAAGGAGGAGCAGAAGAAGTAAGCAGTTCAAGTTTCAAGGGAGGGGTACATACAGGAATGTAAGTCCAGAGAGATTTGCAACAGTTTTGGGAATCTGACCGGACAAATTATTCCTGTCAATGCGCCTATAGCAGGGAAGTGTAAGCATTACAAATTGAACATGACAGTTTTAAAACATATATAAAACTCTTAACCTTTTACTCACAAGTAGCCTAGTTGAGTTAGAAGTCCCAAAGAACTTGGGATTTCACCGATAAATTGGTTACCAGAGAGATCAAGAGTCTTGAGCTGTGACAGCTTCCCAATCTCAGAAGGAAGAGGACCAGATAATCTGTTATTTTGCAACAGCCTGAAATACAAGGTTCAAATATCAGGATATACAAGTGCAGAAAGTGCAAAAGGCCCAGTTTATTGTCTTTTTTTTTAATAATGGAACGGCAAACAATAAAACCCTTCAGTTTTGCTAGTGGCTACTATGGGCTAGACCTATATAAAATAGTGAGTAAATAAAGGAAAATGAAATGAAAATAGAAACTTTTTTTATCGTTTGACACTTCATTGGTGCACAGGTTTTTCTTTCTTGATTACGTGATATTTTTTCCTGATTACATGCTCAAATGAACCTAGAAAGGTAGAATATGATTTGATGTTGGTTTGCCGTAGTTGTATCCTACAACCGCTTTAAAATATGAACAACATAAATTTTAATTGGAAAAAAAAGGAAATTTAATTTGAAAAGGAGGCCCCTGTATTGGTTAACAGGTTTGGAATATTTTAGGAAGCATTCGATCTCTTCTTATTAGAAGCGAATTTTAAGTTATGCGACAGCATATTTGATAAAGAAAACCAAGGAAATAATTATTTGATTATGGAAACCTCTAATCAAGGTGACATGATCAACAAATGAGACAGATTTTATTTATTTGTTAGTCATTTCATTCCTTCAATGGTGAGCTAAAACATGATGCCAAATACCAAGCTCAACACTTCAATGGTGAGCTAAAACATGATGCCAGATACCAAGCTCAACATTAACTAACAGATCGAACAACAACAAATCCTTTGCCCAATTCTCTCATTAACTTTCCAGTTATAAGTTATTAAGTTACTACTCCCAATGTAGTGATGGAAATGGGTGCAGTTCATAATATGTTATTCTCCACGTGTATGAAGTACAGAAGTAGACACGATTCAAGTTGCAATCAGCACACTTGGCAAGCCTCATCATTGCAAGTACTCGATAGAGAGATATCACTATTAAAAAACAAGCAAAAAAACTTCACATACTTAAGCCAAGTAGAAGAAAGAATTTCAGTTTCTATATTTTTCATTTGCCACTGGAGAAACCACTTCCTAAGTCACAATCGCCCATTTGTATCTACCATCAAGAATAACCATAATTCATTCATAATATGATAACAATCACACACCAGTGACTTGCATAGATTAATAAATCACAAAGAAATATAATTTCAAAAAGCGGGATCTCCACTCTATATTTACAATGTATAAAAGACCTAGACGAACTCACTGCTAAAAAAATTGTTAGAGAGAAGAAATTCAAATCTTTTATAAACCACAATTGACTCCTCCGTTAACTAAGGTGGGACTAAATGACCCTAATATTCCATCACACTTCCCGTAGTCCCACTGCCCACGGTAACTGGCTTTGCACTAGTCCAGTATCGGTCGATTATTGCAATACGTACATCACCACCAATGTCACTCACTTGCAGCTGGGAAGATGGGATTGCTCTGGTATTATTTGTAAGAGATCTAGGAGAGCTCATCCTTAAAAGCTAGTCGTCAGAGGGAGAGAACCCATATCTCTTATAAACAGACATTTGATTACTCATTTAATCAATCTGAAACTAAAAGGACCCTATCACAATATAAAGAGTATCTAAATCCAAATCTAAGGAAATAGAACTAATTTACATGCTAAAACCCCTTAAAACTCACATGGTCTGTAGATGGCTCAAATTCCCAATGCTCGAAGATAGCGTACCCGACAATCCATAGCTAGCCATTTCCCTTATCACATCAAGAACAAAACACAATTAAGCCGAAAACCCAAAATCAAGCATTTACAATAAAATATCAAAAACGTTCGCATACAATGAGACCACAAAACCATCAGGAGAGCAGGCAACCATGAACCAAGTACAAGGATCCACAGAATTGATATCCCAGCCATCCATGACCCCAACCTCATCCCTTACCTTGCTCTTCATCGACATCAACGCAGCCACTGCGAACAAAAGTTACAAGAACTTTAACATCCACCAGCTGTTCGACGAAATGCCTCAAGGAAATATTTAATACCAACCTTCATAATTCAATCCCTTTGGCGATAGAATCGGATCCTTGGCCATCACAAAATCAAGGAAAGGTAATAACGACAGTAACAGCAAGAGCCATGGCGCCATCGTTGGAGAGAAGTTGGGGAGTGACATCGAGTGGAGAGTGAGTGAGATGGGTCTTTCATAACTGTGGAGTTGTTTAAGGGGAGGGATTGAAATGGATTCTTGGAAGCCATTAGGGGACCTCGGGAGTTGGTGACTTTTGAAATAGAAAAATGGAGGGTTGAAGGTTGGGAATGGAGAGAGAAATTAGTATTTTTTTTTAAGGGTACAGCTCGAGAAGCAAGAGGGAGCAGCAAAGCATTGAGATGCTGAGAGAGGAGCAAAATTTTGTCCGGACCGAGGACCGGCCTGTTTGTTCGCTACTTATTACTTTAACAAAAAATATTACGAAGGTTTAATTTCATAAATCCGCCCTGAATTTTGAGGTTTTGCACACACTTTTTTTATTTCATAAAACCCTCCTGAACTTTGCAGCATCTGCCGAAACCCCCTTTCTGTTAAAACTTTTCCTAAAGTTAAAAGTTGGCAATAACTAAAATGTGCATGAGAGAAGGAAAAAAAAACCCAACTCAGCCATCTGTATTTACACTGCAAGACCGCCCCTCTTCAGTTCAAAGCCCCCCCCCCCCCCCCCCCCCCCCCCCCTCGGAAACACCTTTGCACAGGGACTGTGCTAAAAAAGTTTTAAGTTCAAGACATCTTGTCAGACACCCCAAAGTTGGGTTTTGGGGGTGAGATAAAAAATAATTTTGGGTCTTTTTTGTGTGTGAGAGTGTGAGAGAAGAGAGATTATTGCATTTAAATCAAAACACATACAAAAAATTGATTATTGCTTGAAAAGGAATTTTTTTGTGATTTTCCCTTGGTTTTGTTATAGAAAATGAAAACATATATTTACATCTACGTAAAAAGTAAAACGTCACAAATGCGAAAAGGACCGAAACATGATAACTTGCACATAAGTAACATGAACTATTAGGGATTTTGCGCGAAAATATTGTGAACTTTCAAATTAGCACAAAAGCATCACATGCTATTAACAGAAATTATGTAGCAGTCCTATGGTGACACATTGAAATTCGACAATAGTTATAAGAGAAATACAAAGTCCATGGTAGTTTACGTGGAAATCAGAAAATTTTCGTAAAAACATAAACAAAAAATCATGGAATATAATATATGAATAGTTCTCCGATAATATATTAGTTTTTTCCCCCACTGAATTAAATATTATAATATATCCTTTAATAAAAATAAATTTATGATATTTTTATGCAAATACCTATGACCCAATAGTCGTTCATTACATTTAATTTAAGCAAGATTCGAGTTAGTAATTCTTGAGTGATCATTCAGAACAATCTATTACAAACAGAGAAGCTGGCGGTCAACACGTTGAGCAATAGCTCACATAATTCAAAGTACGTGTCAGAAACAAGTAGATTATAAGCACCGGGAACTGCAGCGTTAAGGAAAAAGTCAACCAACCACAGCTAGCGATGCAGTCTGCGCATAAACTGGCTTAAAGCCTTAACCATAACTTAACCTTTGTGGAGGAAGTATATTAATACAAATATTCTGGTCCATTGTATTTGGATGGCCTCCTATCAATGAATTCATGAATAGTATAAGGGCCTGTTTGGTTCAATAGAAGGTAGGAATAGGATTATGAATCCTATTTTATTTATGGATTCCAATCTAATCCATAAAAAATTTATAGACAAGTTTTAGTTTTATGGAATCTCATTTATTTTGTATTCTATGTTTGTTTCACCCAAATGATTAGGAATAGGATTAGGAATCAGAATAAAAAAGAGGAGAGAAGTGTCAGAAATTCCACCCAATTCCTAGCAAATGGACTGGATTTGGATTTCCTGAAATATACACTGTTTAAGCCACTTTATAGATTAACAATTCTATAAAAAAAATATTTGAACCAAACTCAGGATTAGGATTCATTTGGAATCCATTAATTACGAAAACACCATTGTCAGGTCCAATTTGAACCAAACTCAGGATTAGGATTCATTTGGAATCCATTAATTACGAAAACACCATTGTCAGGTCCAAATACCATTCCTATTCCATAAAATTGACATTTGGAATCCATTAATTACGAAAACACCATTGTCAGGTCCAAATACCATTCCTATTCCATAAAATTGATGAAAAAAACAGGCCCTAATAATACAGAAAAGACGAATGCTTCGTAACAGCACAATATCAATTATTGACAGACTGGGTCAGCAAACAGGAGACAAACAGAATAGAAATAGAAATACATCTTCCTCTGGGTTAAGTAACATTTACATGTAAAAACAGCTTTTCATGCAATTCAACTTCAGACTACAAGGGGCACTAATACAACTGCAACATCGTCGGCTCAAACAAAGAGAGAGAACCAGAGGAGAAATCTTCCGTCTTCCATATAATGAATATTACATAAAACCTACTTCACATCACAAAATAATACACCGTTCAATATCGTCGTACACCTGGGAACATTCTAATTCTACTGATGATACAAAATGGTCAGAAAATATACACAGGCTGGGAGATTGACCACCACTGAAAATACTGGCACCCCGTCTTTCTTTCGTGATTTGCTTTCAAGTTCTTATGCGCATAAAATTTATCCTCAAGGGCTTCTCCCTAGCTTCTTCCTATCTCAGTGTTGTACAAATTAGAGTAGAAACCGGTCAGAGCCATCAAGTCCCGGCTGGGATAAGGAGGTTGAAACCAGGCTGACGCCTCACATGTTCGGGTATGAGTTTGTTGATAAGCTCTGGTGAAGCTCCAGATAACTGAATGAAGAAATGTCGAAATACAAAAGTTGAAGAGGAATTGAGCAACATAAAGCCAAATACAGCAACCAAACCAAACCAATAAAAGTTGGTTAACGAGTCAAAAGTTCAGTTCGCTTCTGCAGAACTTTAATGTGAAGAAAGCAAATTGAAAAGGCGACATTCTGAGGATAAAATATATTCCTCTTATGGTAATACTAGCATATCGGGTATTTGGAATATTAAATTCTTAATACAATTACACGTTAGTAACTTTATGATGATTAAATGATTTCATTTTTGTATAGAGTTCAGTTCAATACATTACTTTTATGTTAATACTAGCATATTGGCAATTTGGCCCGTTCAATGCACATGCAAAAGTAATAAATTCTTAATACAATTAATTTTATATCATACATGTTAGTAACTTACGATGATTTAATCATGTAATTTTGTTACAGAGTTCAATGTAGAAAATGTATCCTAAAATTTTTAGTAATTAAATCAACAAATGATCATAATAGAATTTTATGAGGATTTTACTTATTCAGTATAATATAATTGGATAAAGTAATTTAGAAGAAAAGGGGAAATTTTTGAAGAAAAAAAATTTGCAATGAACCGATATGTGGATCATGTAGAATGCAACTCAAATTCGAAAATCATTGCGTGTATCAAATTAGTTAGCTAGTTTATAATGATAAATGATATGTTTATATAAATTTACTCTTTAGTAACTTTTTATCAATTCCATTTACATTGTCAGTAAATCACTAAAAATACTATAAATATGGTCAAGATAAAGAGGTGTGCTTAAGTAATTATTATAAAGATCTTCAAACATAAACTTGTTCATTATTAGAACTTATTAGGTAAGATTTTTTATAACAAGTTTACTAGCACTAACTTCTACTCAAGGGAAGAGGGGGTCTGAAACAAGGGCAAAATGGCACACTATTATGTGTAATCTCAAATTACATTTTTACCCCCCACCCCCAACCACCATTCTATTCGTTGTCCGTAACTCCACTTTCATTCAATCTTTTGTCTGCTCTCACTTCAATCTTTCAATATTAGTATATACTTTAAACTTATTTATAATTTAAAAAGTAGTTCCGATTTTTTTTATAGGAGTATACTAACACTACCATCTAAAGAAAGAAGTTAAGTAGTGGGGGAGAGAAATGAAGTGGATGGTGTAATGACATTTTTTATAGGAAATATCCCAATACTACCATCTAAGGAAAGAGGTGAAGTACGGGGGAAAGAGAGATGAAAAAAGGAGTGTAATGACACTTTAGTTATTGTATTTAATTTCAAATTTTCATTCTACTCCATCATTCTATTTGTTTTCCACTTTCCTTGACTTTTTGTCTACCCCCACTTCTTCATATGTTAATATCGATGATTTGATGAAACTTCATCCCTGTAACTTTGGAATATGTCTAATATCTCAAATTTCATACTTTCTTTGTATAGGTGGATGTCATCTATATCATGTCTGAAAACAAGGAAATGAAGGTCAACTAAATTGCCTAATATGTAGTGTCTGGAGTGTTCACATCGAGGTTGCATGGACATGGTTGCGGGTCCAGACATGGACAAGGGTGCGGATATGGGACATGGCAAATTTGTAAATGATAAGATACACAAACACGACTATACATACACATCGAAATTAGTAATTTTATATGAGATCAATATTGTTTTTGCATTCACGTGTTATGCGAACTAAAATTCCTACAACATTATTATGTTCTTTTATTGAATAGGTTATGAAAAAAGTGCTCTTTTTGAACTAGAAACCCAAATAATCCATTAAAATCATACTTATGAACTGTGTATGAGTTGAAACGAACCCGACCCCAGTCTAACAAGTTGCAGAAGTCCGAGTTGAAGTGTAAAATACATGTCCACTAAGTGTATTACAAGTGTTTTAATCTAAAACATGTTTTTATAATTGAGTAAACGTCTGAATAAATATATGCATACATTCAAGAAGTGTTAATGAGTGTCCAACATAGACATGGATACGGAAAGACATGGATACGAAAAATGTCGGACACAGATATGGCATTCTAGATGAAGTGTCCGGGAAACTTAGGTTCACATCCGTTGAGTTCAAGTATGGGTTCGCTCTAGCAAAAGCATGTGATGAAACTTAGTCCCGCATTGGAAGAGCAATTAGATGGATTAATGGATAAGAATGATTAAATTCAAAATTGATAAGGTTACTCCTTAAAACATTTTGAGTCAAATTGGATCCAAGTGGATTAGCATAGTTCATCGTTCATGGGCCTTTGCAATTCAATGAACTAGTATCAGAGTACATGGTTTGATTTGTCCTTGGATGCTCAATTTTTCCGAGATTGTTGTATAGGTTATGGACTTATGTTAGGTACATCTATTTCAAAGTCGTACTCGTACTCGACATGTACCCATACTCGTACACAAACTTCTTGCACACTTCTTAAATATTTGCCTATGTTTTTTAAAGTGTATACCCAATTATATACTACATGTTTTAATTTAAAACACTCCTCGTACAATTCCTGGATGTATATTCTACACACTTTCACATCTATTTCTCTTTATTGATCTTGTACAAATGAGAAAACAATATTGATTCTATGCAAATGATTAATTTTAATACATAAATATACATAACAAACATATTTATAGCCATGTTCCCGTACCCTACCTTTTACAAATTTTTCATGTCCCATACCAGTACCCATGCCTATACCCATACCCGTACTCATGCAACTTAAGTTATGGCTGTGGATAACATAATGCACATATTACCTAGTGTAACTTGGTCCAAACATGGATTCAAGTTCCTTTGGGTGCACATACAAATCACATTTGCCTCCGGTGTGGCTCTATTCGTCTGCGAAATGGTAAGTCAAGACCTTATCTCTATTAGCCATTTGTACTAGATTCGACTTGAGACTGAATTATATATGAGTCAAGATGGAGATTTGTTCGTAGCATCTCACATCTATCCATTCAATTCCAAGTGTTTATTCGGGCTAACAAGGGCATCAGACAGGCCACATTGGAAAAACAGGTAGAAATTTACGGAACAGTTTCTTCTGACCACATTAACCTAAATAAAGTATGCAAGAAGATAGGCTCTTTACCCAGCCAATTGGCCTACATTATGTGGGTGTAACCCATTTGCCCACAATTGACAAGACAAGATAGATGTCAATAGGCAGAGATAATAAGTCCTTCAACTACATGTTAAAAATAATAATTACTTGACTAGTTACAGTTAAAACAAATAATTTACTTTGTAGTGTAGTAATATCAACTCTAAACTAATCACTGATTATATTCTGTTTTCTACTGCCAGTTGGACAAGTGTGTTGGGCTACAATTGCTCTCCTTTCATTTTAAAGGAACAAGACCCAAGATTCAATATGAATACGCGACTCCTTTATCAAGGCAACAAAAAAATTGAACAGAAATAGAATATAGATTGTAATGATATGATAAATATATACTCAGTCAAATTATCTGCTATATCTGCTATAACAGAAACGTACAGCATAGACAGATGACAAGGACCACGACCTACCTCCTGTTTAAAGTTAAAGAGGGGAGGGAGTGGGCGACCAGTTGGCAACCGTGCATTGGGTTCTCGCAGCTCGTCAAAGAAGGAATGCGCACAGGCTTCAAGCTGCCATTAGAAAAATAAAAATGACTGAGAATACTCTTACAAATAACAGTAATGAACCAGTTTTAAGCAAATTGACCAATGTTTCCACTTTCCAGTAAGTTATTGGGTTTGCCATAAGTGGATTTGACCATTAACCAACTCAAGCTTAAAGTTGATTAAAAAAAAGAGTTACCTGGTTTGCTCAGGACTGAAAGGAGAGAGATTTTGTCAATTAGATGGGTTTTTAACTAACCAATAACATCAAGGGTCAATCTCATGTATGTTGAATTAATAGGAGAATAAACTATTTTAGGTTTATTGGTCCACAAAGCAAGCTAATATCACTGTTTCTAATTTGACAACTACAACAAAGTATAATGCATCACAGACGAAACTAAGCCACCAGATTGAAAGAAAACATGAGAAAAAATATGTAATCACAAAAGACAAAAGCAACATATTGAAAGCAGGATAATAATAATAATATATGAATATATAAGTCAAACAAATATATGGAAAATTGTAAATGAAACAACTAGGAAAGGAATTGAAATACTAGTCCACGCTGTACGCATCATCATTTGGGGCATTAGAGGTCTAACAATTATCGGTAAATTGTCAAAGGAGCTTCACACGCTTGTTGAGAGAGTAGAAATAGTAACAAAAATAGCTGCCAACGAAATGAAACTACACCCAACCTCATTTGACTCATCATTTGGGATATCCTGATGTTAGGACAGCCTTGGTAACTCAAATTGATTATAGGCTACAGCCATTTCCCCCAAAAAAATTCAAATTGATTATGTGCTAGTACGCAAGTAAACTACATAAATGATAGGACTTACTGCAGTGCAACGAAGACTCGGAGAATATTGTAGCAGCCGAGATGCAAGATCTATTGCTTCTGGAGGCATTCTTTTGTGGAAAATCTGAACCAAAGAAACAAGTATAAAATTTCTGCTAAAGCACCATAGACTACGTCTATCATCATTGCTCATGCTCGTGTAGCCAAACTGGACAAATCATTCAGAAACAATCAAGCTACAATGCCATATTAAACTATGAGTTTACAGTGATCTACGTCACACGGCAAATTTGTAAAGAGGAGGATTTGGGGACACGGCTGAAACACAGAGTGAAAGCATAGTTCTAACATAGATATGCAAAAGAACCTTTGCAATCGTAGTTTTTAACTGAATATGGACTGAAACACAACCAGCCCTTAGCCATGTTTCAAAAGTGGATGTGAAGTGTAGGATATATGTCCAAGAAGTGTATGACGAGTGCTTTACATTAAAACATGAATTGCACAAATCGAGCGCAAAGGAGCGTCACATACAGGTACAGCTTCATGATAGAAAGTACCCACGCAACATAACCACTGACCCATACATCAACTGGCGGCACCATTAACTTAACTAGAAACAACTAGTCTTAAGCCCTATTAGAAATTCCAAAGAAATTTTACATGATATGTCATAACTTCCTTACAGGACACACATAACAGAAGCGCAAAGCAAAACTTTGTTGACATTGAATTGTTCTTTAAGCTTTTCATAAGCAGGATTATACAAGAAAATTCTTTGTTACTCCTACTAGAATGCAAGATAGGTTGGCTTGTAAATTTAAGGTATCTCCACCATATCTAGTATGCGAGTCTGCGACAGGCACCATGTGACAGTTTAAAGCCTTAGAGCATCTCCAACCGAACGCTTTCCCCTCAAATTGACGCAAAAAATAACCATGTTCATCCTCCAACCGAACGGCATCCCCAGCGCCATTTTGGGGGAGAGCTACAGTGCTGCGCCAGATTTGGCGCAGCACTGTAGCTTTGGCGCAGTGATATTTTTTTTTTTGTTTTTTTTAGGCCATGGAGTTTATTATTTTGTTGGTTTTTAATGTTTCTCTTTTTATTCATGATCAAAATATTTCATGGTAGCTTTTATTTTTTTTTTATTATTTTGATATGAACTATTAGAATAAAATTAGATTATAAAATAATTATTAAAATAAAATTCAACAATGGAAAAAATAGATAGTTTAATCCAAACACTTAAAATTTCATAATACTAGAACCAAATAGAACATTGAACATAAACTAGAACAACATTGAAAATTAACACTAATTGCAATACATTAAAATTAAAGGAAAATAGAACATTGAACATAAACTAAAACAACATTTCAGTATTCTGGGAAATCATCATCAGAAGGACGAAGATGTTTTCTTTTGTGATGTTAAATGTAATCTTTAGTTGAAGTTATGAAAGTAATATTTTAATTTGATTTAGCATTTAATTTTTATATTTTTATTTTATTCATAAAATATATTATTATAATTAATTATATGTATTATATAATTATATAATTATATAATTTGTTAAATATTTTAAATTTCAAAAAATGTTAAAAGATAAGAATAATAAAAGGAATATTCTTTTTGGTGTAACATTTGGTGTAATGGGTTGGAGATGGAATAGTAATTTGGTGTAAGAACTACACCAACTTGGTGTAAAAACTACACCATTTTGAGTTTTATGGTTGGAGATGCTCTTAGAAACAAAAGCCCGTTTGAAGTATTTAGGCCGTATAGACTCAGAGATATATATCAGCACTGTCAGTACTTATGCACCAAATCCTTCCATCCATATTTTTCAGCTTACATAATGTCATATAAAAGGGTTTAACTTGTCATTATGCAAAAAAGCTTGCTTTCTAATGATGTAGATTGAGGTTAGCACTTTCAAGCTCCAGAGATGTGGCATGTCAGCATAGGCATGAGATGTGGGGAACATTTGCCGCCACATATGTAAGAGGGAGACTCTTTCTCCCTTCCCTCAATTGATTTCCAATGCTAGACTGGCCTCCCTGAAGTCCGTAAACCATGAATCTGGCTATCATTGCTTTTCAGATATTCGGAATTCAGAATGGTTGGATCTCAATGGTCAAGTGCAGGGTTTATAAAATTTAAGCTTGTTTTATCATTCGCAAGTATGTATCACAAGGAGTTTATTTGAGATTTATTTGCATATCCTTCTGAAATACATAGGGTCAGCAAAATGCATGGTGATACGATATTGCATTTTTGCCACGATCATGCCTCGGCAATACATCAAATTCTAAAATTACCCGAAAATTGTGCAAATTTTGATATATAATCCAAATAGAAATGCCACAAGAAGGCATGCAAAGGTTAATTTAATTTTTGTTGCGATAATTGATGTCATGTCACCTGTCAAGCAACTAATGATACTCATTGTCAAAGCATTCAAGTAGGGAGCAATTACAGTATAGAAGTTCTTAAGGCCCTTATCATGCAATTGGTACCTTAGGTCAGCAAAGGATTTCTGAGATATAATCAACAAGTCATCCTTTATTTAAATAGCTGTCTACCACATAACATAATAGTTGCCTAAAAACATATATTTCTATAGCAACAGATGTATAATACATGTAGAAGCATATGGATAATCCGCTCTGTTGAACTTGATCTATATATTCTAAAACCCCAACACACCAAGTTTGGGGTGAACCCATCGTCGATTGACCCTCCGTCAAACCATGTTAAAAGTTCTATTCATTCGAAACCGTTAAAATTGATATGAATGTATGAAGGGTCAAACGACGACGGGTTCACCCCAAACTTGGTGTGTTGGGGTTTTAGAATATGTAGATCAAGTTCAATGGAGCGGATTATCCACAATGTAGCTCAATCATGTGATTTTAGGCCGCGTCCTTAGATGACTATCTAAGGTGTCACCTTAGAAACACTTCTCCCATATATATATATATATAGACAGAAATATGGAGAAACTTGGTACCAAGTTTTTTCATTGAACTTGGTAGTGATGTGGCCAAATATCACCCCTATATCATACCTCGAAGATGGAGCCTCTTTTATGGAGTAGGTAAATAGTGATTGAGGCTCTATTTTCAAGGCATGATGTAGGGGTGAGATTTGGCCACCTCACTACCAAGTTCAATGAAGAAACTTGGTACCAAATTTCTCATATATATATATATATATATATACATTACTTGCAATATAAGAAAACTAAGAATCATGGGAATTCAACACCTACCTTGTGCCATGGATGAGCTTTTATCTGGGGAAATCTAAACTCTGTATAATTTGGATTCATGCACCGTATCTCCTCCCGAGTTGGAGTACCAAGTACCTGTAATAGAAAAGAGTTAACTAAAAGGATTTCCATGCAATATAAGACTTAAATTACCATATGCCACCTATACAATACCTTGATTATCTCTACTAACTGGTCAACTGCACTTTCACCGGGAAACAAAGGCTGCTCAAATTGCAAAAGAAGTTCAGTACAAAGAAAGCCAAAAATGATTCGAGGTTATATTAATGTATATCATCTGTATATTTAGAACAAGAAAACTGAGTTTAAGATGACCAAAGAGTAACCTGGCCAAGTAGTAGTTCAGCAAGAACACATCCTGCAGACCAAATGTCAATAGATGTTGTGTATTCTGTTGCACCAAATATTAGTTCTGGAGCACGGTAATAACGAGAGCAGATGTATGATATGTTGGCTTCACCCTTAACCTGAAAAAGGCAAATCAATTATCGAATAAGAAAACCATTTGCAACATTGCTGAGAAATATTACTCTTGCTGAGAAATATTACTCAACGCTAATACTTGGGGTAGATTAAAGCTCCAGATTCTTGATGTTTGTGAAATGGTGCATTTTGTGCTTGAAGAATTTTCAGACACAAATCAAAAGAAAAAATTAAGAACATGTATGTTGATCAAATAAAATATTGAATTAAAGACATTCTGAGTAATACAAGAAAGTGGCCCAACCTAGAAAATAAGCATGATCATCCTAAAATATAAACAGAACCAGAGAGTTTACAGTTCAGTAAAAAATTAGACATTTCCCAAAACCACCAAAAGATCTCACCGCTGTGGATCCTTGGTGACTAAAACATCAATTCAGTTCCCTATGATTAATGAAACATTGTATTTAGCCAATTCTATAGTTAATTTGTTATACTAAATACAAAAGTGAACGGGGTTGAACACTGCTTAGCTACAGTTCATTCCCATTAGCTATATTAGCTGTATACTAAAAAGTTAATGGGGATGAAACGCGCTAGCTACAGCTCATCCCTACTAGTAACTAGCTATAATATATAGCAATATATGGCAAAGAGGACAAGGTGTTGCAGTGGTAGAACTCTCCAGTGGTATACAATTGATACCGCATTCAATCCTATGGGCCTGTTAGCGAACTCCTCAAAACAGATTTGGGATTGATCCTAACCCAGTTTTTGAGGTAAACTGGTTCTTTTTTAATCCAAAAGAAGGAGAGGATTAAAAAAATAACAGTTTGAGACCCCTTTTTTGGCTTAGGAAAAACTGGCCCGAATTTTGCCAATCAAAACCAAACCCGAAACTGGGCCAGATTCAGTCCTGGCTCAATTTTAAGGTTTGTCAAACACACCCATGGTTCGAAAAAAATTTGTAATTTTTTTTACTTATAAATCCACAGTTTTACTTCCATTTACTTTAAGCCACCTATTCCCAAAAGCCACCTATTCCCCAAAAAAATCCCCCTATAGAACAAAAATCTTTCCCCTATTAATTTCCAAACCTACCAACTTCAAAAATTTTACTCTGACTTTTTACCCATAAACCAAAAAGTTCCATCCCGATTTATACTTTAGTCCATCTACTTCCAAAGAGTTTTTGAGTATAAAGCCAATCAATTTTTATTTTAAACTCGCTCACTGCCAAAATATGAATCCAAATTTTTATCCCTATTTATTTTTGAACCCACCCACTTCCAAAATCACTTTGATTCTCGTCATGCCCAAAATTTTATAAGTTTTTTGTTTTTACCTATAAACTCAATATTTTACTCCCATTTATTGTTACACCCATCCACTTCCAAAACAGTTGGGTTTTTGCATAAAAACCCAATGCTTTATGCCCACTAATTTTTTTGGACCTACCAAGTTGCTTCCAAAGTTTTACTAGCGGTTATTTTGCCTCTAAATACAAAGTTCCACCCCAATTTATTTTTGAGCCCACCCACTTCCAAGAAGTCTTTTGCACACCTACGGGGAGAAAAAAAAGCTTGCCTATGAATCCAAAGTTTTACTCCCGTTTATTTTTAAACACACCCTCTTTTTTCCCTTTTTTTTTTCTTTTTTTTCCAAAAAACCCATCCTCCTCCAGTCACTCCTACACTTAAAAACGCTGCAGAAACTTAATATTAAACTCAATGTTTTACCTGTATTTATCTATGTATTGACTCACTTCCAAAAAGGATTAGTTGTCTACAAGCCAAAGTTCAGCTCTCATTTATATTTGAATCCATCCAATTTCACAATCAATCTTAGACCTAAAATATTTAATGGAATTTTTAAACTCACACTTTATTTCAACGGTTGGTTTGCATTATAAGTTGCTATATTTTGATGTAATTTACTATATTATTTTCTAAGTGGTTACGTGTACAATGTATGTTTAAACCAAATCCTTAAAACAATATTTATTGTGACTTTTTAAACTAATGTCGCGGCATCACGCCAGTCAATTTTGCTCATGTTCTAGCTAAAATGAAAAATTGTAGGTAGTCAACTGAGCGAGGATAACTAGAGGTAAACCTAGATGTAAGATGTTGCACACATTACCTAAAAAGTACAAAATGAACACTGCAGGATATCAAGAACAACTAAGTGAAAAGAAGGTTTTATGTAGCCAGATCCAATTAGGTAAGACACATCTATGAAACTGACTATCAGCAAGGACCAGGCAAACGAATATGAGCTTGTTTATGCACTGGTAAGTTGTTTCCATATAGATAGAAAGCCAGTAGCTATGGTGCCTAGGCAACTAGCCCGCCATGCCTAACAGCTATGTCACATGTAGTTTGATGTGATCTTTTCCTTTTGCTATTCTGTATGTATTTGGTCTTGAAAATAGCTCTAGCATCTATGACCATATCAAGCAGAAATAAAAGATAAATGGCTGAAATTATTTTCTACTTTAAAGTGGGGGACCAATGGCAGAGTTCAGATTTAAAATTTGTATTCAGAAATTTCACTTAAAACAACAACTAGAACATCGCATCATGTGGAGAACAATTGTTCCAAGAGCTGAAAAGCTAAAACTCTGTGTCACAGACTCATTACAATGACAGTGTAGCTGAAAGAGAGATAACATAGGTCAGTCATCTATCTATATAAAACAGTGGACTCGAAAGCACGTATAACTTGCCAAAATTGATTGCAATCATAGAGTTGTCATAGAGTTAGAAATGAAATACATAATAAACAGAAAAACTGAAATGTGCAAGGCATACCAAAACTTTAGCGCTTCCAAAATCACAAAGCTTAACTTGGTGGGTAAGAGGATCAACCTGCACAATAACCAGTGATGATTATACCAAACAAAAAGCTGACAGTAAAAAAAACTCGAGCGTGATATGAGTCGCAAACAGCTTACCAGGAGGTTTTGTGGTTTAACATCTCTATGACAAACACCCGGAACAGAATGAATATATGCTAACCCCCTAAATATCTGCACCAAGACAAGAAGACAATTACCCCTATGCCCAATAACAAAAAACTTATATATATTCAAATACATAAAGAAAACAAACAGACCTGATACATGTAAAGCTTCACATAGATAAGCGGCATTCTTTGATTAGCATTGCTGTAATGCTTTAAAACGCGATACACGGTTTCAGGAACATACTCCATAACTAAGTTGAGGAAAAGCTCATCTCTGCTTGTAGTGGAGAAGAAGCAGTGCTTCAAAGAGATGACATTAGGATGATCCATCGACCGCATAAGTTGCAGCTCTCGGTTCTTGTACCGTCTATCCTGTAATACTTTCTTTATTGCCACGGTCTCCCCTGTTTCCAAACATTTGGCCTGTATAGAAAAGAAACAACGTACCATAGAGAGAACATTTAGTCTCTTTCAGTAAACCACAACTCCGAAATCATAATTCAGATTGAGAAATATAATTTTATACTTAACCCACGGGTTGAGCCCTTTTTCACCAAAACCTAGACCAGGTACTGGTATGGTATATTTTCACTTTTACTTCTGCTTTAACCTAGCTCACTAGCTGTTTTTTTTAATCCACTTTAAATATGTGATCCACGGGATTTGAACTGGATTGCTCTGATACTATATTAACGGCCTCTTCTAGTACATCACAACACCAAAGATATGACGAGGGTTGAGACATATAATTTATACTCCTAACAAAATTGCATAAAACTTCTAGGGAACAACCAATATTTTCCCCTTTGAATCATACCTGAAATACGATTCCGAACGAGCCAGTTCCAACAATGCGCTCCGCCATGTAACTAATGGTCTACAAAACAATTTTTCCCAATCAAGATTTGAAATTATACGATGAATCAAACACGCTTGTTACAGATCTATTTACGGAATTGATTCGTTATTTCTTACTTGTTTTGGTTCACCATTCTTTCCTCCAATTGTAGTGGAGATAATGTGACCTGTGACTGGATCGTTCCCTTCCATAACAGATGTCACCTGTATTTATTTCACCCTCAAAATCATAAGAAAATAGCTGAAAATGGAGAATAAAAAAAAGGAGGAGGAGGAGGAAGCACCAATATAACAAATCAACTCCAAAATCGATGTCTATATTTAAAAAAAATGCGAGTAAAATGAATCTAAATTACATATCAAAACCATAAAAGCAGGAGTCTGACAAGATTAAACGAGCATATCCAAACAAGACTCAACCAAATCATTCAAAATTTACAGATCTGTCGTCTTGCTAAATCAAAAATTACTATCATGAGCAAACAAGCCTAATTTCTTCCACACAAAAAAAAAATCCTCACAACACTCAACACGGGTGAAAAACTCGAGAAAACCATAAAATTTTGGCAAATTTTTCAAAGGAGACTTAACGCAGCATAAACTAAACCGGATCATCCAAATTTTCCGGATTTGTCCCCTTCTAGCATCCAAAATCAAAGCCAGGAGAAAATCAGCTCATGTCCTCAAAAAAGAAATCTAGAAAACACCGAACCGGTCGATGGAATAAAAAGGACAGCTGATGACATCCAAAACGAAAACCAGGAGAACAAAACCACGAATCCCTCAAAAATGCTGGAAAAATATTCAAAAAATGAGAAAATTCAAAACCGAGATTTGAGAATGCAGAAGAGAACCGAGCAACGAACCGACGGAAGATACCTTGTCTTCGGCCATCTCAGGCCGGCAAGGATCTAGATTCTTCACGAGAATCTCATTCTCATTCTTCTCCTGATGATGTTGATGATGATGAGGCCGAAGAAGAGGAGGCCCCATCGGCAACGAAGCCATGTGAAACTATTCTCTCCCTTTCCCAAAATACCCACTACCTGATTTATTCACGGCGATTTTGGCAGAAGGGTAGAGGACGTAAATAGAAGCAAACCTCGGTGGTGTTTCAACTTTTTTTTTAACTTGATCCGAATGGATTTGAAGGAACGAAGGGACCCCAGTTCTAGGCCCTGTTTGGCATCTTGTATTGTACTCTAGTTAGCTTTAAGCTTGGTTTGGAAGGGAGTTAACGGCTGTTTGTTTTATTTACTAGAAACCTAAATTTGAGAGGTTATTTTATTATGGGAAATAGGTTGTGGAAGTTATTTTCATGTTCGAAAATGTTATTTGCATGTAAGATGGGTGCGCAGCCCATCTCGCGTGCCACAGTAGGGGGTGGGACCCACATCTGGTTGGAGTGCCAAATAGCAAGGTTTTCATGTTTTCAAACTTATTTCATGATTTTTTAAGAGAAATGGATTTTTTTAATTTGGGACCCCTAGCACTATTATCTTACTAGTGAGTGAGTCTCACATGCATAGCATCTCTTTTTTTTCCTCTCTCAACCAAATGCAAGAAAAAGAAATAAAAAACATTCACATTGGTGTGTCAGATATTTTGATTTTATTTTCTTAGTTTTTCAACCAACCAAACATCCCCTAAGGGGCTGTTTGGTTGTTTTCCGAAAAAAACAAGAAATAAAAATGTCACATTTCATTTGATATCATGACATTTCAAGAGTTTTCCCACATTTCATTTTTTTGTTTATTTCGCAAAGAAATCACCCTTTGAAACCGCCAAGTCACATAAAGAGACAAAAAAACCGCAATAGTAACAGTGCATGTGTTTTCTATTTCTTGTGTTTGTTTGAACAAAAAAAAGGGACTGGACGTAGTCAATGATGGGAAAACGCCAATCTCGGGACTCAGACCCAATTTGAGTTGAATTCATCTCATTGGCGTTAATATTTCCGTCATCTTCCTCTTCAATATCCATATTATATATGGGTACGCAGAGTTGATGCGTCCTTACTGTGACTAGTAGTTCAGTTTCGGGAGGCTGTGCAAGTGATACCGCTAGTGCTGCCACAAGTGTTTTCAGAGGTTTTTGTTGTGAAAACACATTTCTTAAAAATGTGATGTGGCATCCTACGTGGCATTTCATTTCTCTAAATTTCAAAACGAACCAAACTGAAGAAATGGAAAACCCTTGAAACCAAAAACATATGTGGTACATGGGGGATTTCTTGAAATGTGAGATGGCGGGTGTTTTCTCTTTTTTTTTTTTTTTTTTTTTTGAGCAAACAAACAGACGGGGGGTTTTTTTTTTTTTTTTTTTTTTTTTTTTTTGAGCAAACAAACAGACCCTAAAAGGAGAGGAGGGAACGGGAGGTGTAGACGAACAAAGAAGGATACACTTTTGATGCTTTTTTGTTTGGTGGAGGGAAAATAGGGGCAGGTGTATGATTTTTTTTTTCTTATTTGACTGAGGGAATGGGATGGGAGTTGAAATGAAGAGTTAGCTATAAATGACAAGATACCCTTCTGCTACTCCAACATAATAATTCTTCCATATTAGGAGAAAATTTGCAAATGCCAATATTTGTGGAGGGAAACTTACAATCACGAAAATTTCTAGGGGTATATAATGTGCAAAAACTCCTATTTTCCACCCAGAAAATGACCTCGCATGAAACTAAAATGTAGTATTAAATATTATTATTTCTTTCTACATTGGAGGTGCAACAAATAGTAGAAATCGATTAAGAACAAATAAATCACAATAAATAACTTCATAAATTATACATACTTGGTCGTAGAAATTTTCTCATCAAAACAACTATGGAGAACATTCAAGTTGCAACTGCCTATTGAGGTATAATCATACACCACAAAATCCCTTCCGCAATAGAGGCATCATATATGATCAATTTCTATTCTCAACTAAGTAATAATCAAGCACTAAATCAATTAACCACCCAAACAAATATGTGTTTATGTATATTTGTATAAATGTATATTCGTATTCATATCTGATTTTAATATACATTGATATGAGTTTTACTTATTGAGGTATATTTATATCCGTATCTGTGAATAGCAAGTGAATATAGATACGGTAAGTATGATATTCGAGCCGTATCTAAGCCGTTTACACCCTATGATAGTCAACCAATACCTAACTAATTAAAACAACTTAATTTATTCATGGCCTCCGTAATGAAAAGATTTTATTGAAATGCAATTAGGCCCTATTTGGTGAAAAAAATATAAGTTTGAGTGGTATATGTTAAAAGCTGGAGTAGTAATGGACTATATATTTCTTAGAAAAGGATTTATTACCACCTGATATCTTGAGATATCATGTAATTACACGAGTGACTTAGAATTCGTGCATCTACATATATAATTTCGAAAATATTGATTGTAATTACACAGGTAATTCTAAAAAATTGTTTTTATCTAGGTTCCAAGGTCATTCGTATAGTTACAAATCTATATAATTTCAAAATTGTTAAGGCCTATTACCAAAAAAACCCTATGATTAACTAGACAACAAATTTTTTGAAAAGACAATTTATAATTTATAAAGCAAATAGAATAATGATAATTACATTATTTTTTAAACTATTTTTATAATAGTGGATAGTCAATTGTAAGCTCCCTCGATAAGTAATCAATTTTGAGAAAAATAAAGAAAATAAACTTTACGTTTATCTCCCTTATAGTCTAGAAATAATAAAGAAACAGTAACCTAGCTAATAAATTACACTAAATGGTAGGACCAATCACATGAGGCGGCCTGACTGCCCCGCTGTGCCAGCTGGACTACTGATCTCCCAGCATTCAAATAGCAACTATATAGGGGTGTTTTGGTAAATAACCTCTCGCTTTGTCGTAACACTACTTACAAAAGCTAAGGCCAATTATTTATAGTAGGGCATGTCGTAATACGGAAGGTCAAGAGGGGCATTTGAGTCAAATACTCTCATCAAAGGTATGGGCTTTAGCGGTCGCTGAATTTTCCGTTTTCTGCGGCGGAAATCCGTGGTCATTGCGGGACCCGCTTTTCTGTCCAACTCGTATTTCGAGACGTCACCATTGTGATCCGGAGGGGGGAATTATGAAGTGGGCTGGAGACTATGGGCTAGAAATAAATTTTGACACGGCCTGGCCTAATGACTGCAGATTTGCCCGGTTTCATGGGTCTTCTACGGTCAAGAGCACATGAGCAGAGGACGTCTGGTCAGCGAGAAATGGGGAAGCAAACTGCAGAGGCATCTGCAAGGTTTGAATGGATTTTAGGGTATGTTTGGTTCACTTCCTTGAAAAAAATAAAGCACAAAACCATGCTGAAATCCATTTCAATGCATTTCAGAGGAATTCTCAGATTTGATTTTTTTTAGTTTGTTTCGCCTTGAAATCATAGGATGTAAAACATTGTTTCCTATTTTTTTGGTTTGTTTCAACATCCAAAAATCAAGAAATCTGACCTATTTCAGCCACTTTAGTCACTTCATGTCACGAAAAGGTGAGCGGGACAATATTTTATTTCTCATTAAATTCATTTCTTGTCCATTTCAGCCACTTCGGGTCTGAAATGAGTTTTCTACAAAATTTAACGTGGCTCCCTATTTCACAACTTTACTTCCTTAATACCCTCAATGAACCAAACGCTGGAAATGGAAATGTGGTGAAATAAAAAACTGACGTGGAGCTCTTGTCAGGTCACAAAAGCTCAATTTCCAGTTTTTTTTTAAGCAAACAAACAGCCCCTTAGTGTTAAATATAACTAGTGTCCACCCCGTGCAAAGCACGACCCCCTACTTTTTTAAGTATTACATTTTAAACTTACCTCCCTCTAAGTTTTAATACATTTAATTTGATTATTGTATACTTAAAATTAGAAATTATATCTACTCCTCTATACTTAAAAAATGATCCAAGTTTAATATATTTAATTTAGAAATCATATCTACTTCTTTATACTTAGAGGATGTCTAAATTTTAATACATTTGATTTGATTTATTGTTTATGATATAATAAAATAATGTAGCATAGACAATAACTCCAAAAATATAGTGCTAGATTTTGAGTTATGTTAACAGTACAGTAACAATACAGTAGTTACTGTGTGGGGGGTGGGGGTGGGGGGGCTACTGTTCACGAACAACTGTTTTTTACTGTATCATGAATAGTGATTCTTTTGATCCTAGATGGATATTAGCATGTTTGTGGATCATTTATGCACTTTCGTGGAGTTAGTGCTACAATTGGCAGGGGTGCTGCATCTGGTCGTCGATGGATCCCGATTGGCTCTCTCTCTCTCTCTCTCTCTCTCTCTCTCTCTCTCTCTCTCTCTCTCTCTCCCCCCTCTCTCTCTCGCGTCTCTCTCTCTCTCTCTCTCTCTCTCTCTCTCTCTCTCTCTCTCTCTCTCTCTCTCCCCCCTCTCTGTGACGCCGACCCCAATATCACCGTGTACTCATCGAGATCCATCATGGGCAACTGTGACACCCCCGTGAGATCTGTAGGTCCTAGAGAGAGGAGAGATGAGAGAACGTGTGTGAAAAGAGGGTTCTTGTAGGAATTTTGACAAAAAAACTCAACGGGAAAAGAGTATTTGTGACTGAGTAAAATGAAATAAAATTTAAAGGTGGTTCATGTATAAATTAAAAATAAATGTGGTTCATATATTACACCCCTATTTTTAAGGTGGTTTCTATATAAAACCCTAAAAACTTTGATACTAAGATACAATAAAAGAGTCTATGGAAATTCATTTTTTTTCGTTGCAATGTAATATGCACTAGGTGGGATGCATATGTATTGCATGTGGTCAAATAATCTTTTTTTTCTTTTGATTTTATTTTTACCATATCTAGGTCGCGTAGGTTACCATAAAATATATTTAAATTAAAACTTTTAGATATCTCCATGGGTAAAAATTTGTTCGTTACAATTTTTTTTCTTCCAAAAAAAGTAAAATTTAGTTCTTAAAAAAGAGCATTGTAAATAATAAATAATGCTTCCTCCATTTCCT